CTGCATGTCTGCTAGTTAAATGTGCTGGTTGATTTGCTGCAAGACACGTGCTCTGCTGCCTGAACTACAGAGTGCAAAGCAGCTAAGTGCCTGCCAACACCCCCACCCAGCCTCCCCCCACCCCTGTTTGTTTGTTTGTTTGTTTGTTTGTTTGTTTGTTTGTTTGTTTGTTTTGCGGGTCCGGGCATTTTTGCACCCTGGGGACCGGTCCGGACTGTCCAGTGTCCGGTGACGTCCGGATCACTGGACAGTCGGACCGGTCCAGCCACTGGTCCGGAAGACAGTCCGAAAGTGTCCGGTGTCCGGGTCCGGGGTTACCATGCATCAAACATATATTTCCTTTTCATGTTTCGGGATATTCTATTCTTTTGGCGCATGCCCATGCTGCGCTTCGTGCACGTGCTGTTGCAGCAGTGTGCCACACGTGCACTTGCAAGCTACGCTCTGAGCGAGCACAGTGCCAAATGGAGTCTGGTCAACTTATGGCTATACACCTACCCTTGAAGTGTGTCATAATGTGACACAGTGGAATTCATTCCTCAGCTGTAAGATAATACTAAGATTGTCTTTACATACATAGTTGGATGGACCCTAAGCACAAAGGGAAAAAAACAGGAACTAAGTGTGAGAGGCTTCAGGCCTCGGCGAGACAAGAAGACCGCCTGTGGAAGTGCGCAAGGCCTGCAGGCCATCCTAAGCAAAGGCGGGCCTGAGAGAAACAAGGCCGGCCCTAAGTGAAGTCCAAGCCATATGGAAACCGGGCAGGCACCAGCCTCCATAACTAACCAGTAGGCCCAGCCTCCCGTTAGTTACAGAGGCCGGACCCACTCAGACCAGTCGGGACAGCCTACTGGGTCCAAGGTCGCGGCCTCCAGAAGCAACAAAAGGTGGGAGGCTGCTCGTGGAAGACACACTGGGGCACTGGCAGCATATCACAGCGCTGGAGCAGCCCATAGCGGCCAGATAGCACCCGGGCGAAAGGATGCAGCTGCAGTTTGCTGCGCTTGTGCCTGGGCCTGCCACAGATGGGCAGTGCTTAGCAGGGAGCTGGTTGGTGAGGTCAAGCGGTTGTCAGGGAGGGGTACATATGTGAGCAGACTCTTCAGCGGCATGTGTAAAAAGACTCTCTGTCCTTAGCTGGTGTTGGCAAGGGGGATGCCAGACTGACTGTGCTGACCTGTTGTGGGCGAAAGATGCATGCATGAGCAGACTTACCACCAGCAGACTTACCACCAGCATCGGGCAGTGCTAAGGTGGTGCCGACGAGGGGTACATTTGTGAGCAGACTCTTCAGCAGCATCTGGCAAGTGACATATGGAGAGGGAGAGTGCGAGGGTGTGTCGTAGGCGTGGAGAGTATCCCGAATAGAACACCCGGCCAAAGTCACTGTATGCAGACTGATAGTTCGACCAAATGCGGCTATAATGACCAGGTGTTCTATTCAGGTGAAGACGGTAGGGCTACCACATAGTTGTGCATTGGTAAATGGAGGTGAGGAGTTGGGCTTTCTCTGTCAAGAGACTTCAGTGTTGCACTTTCTTCCCAATTGTTGTGCCCTCAGGTTTTGTATTTCTGCTTTCAACTCGGCTCTGCTTGGTCTTCTATAGATCTGGCATTTTTGGAGATTTGGAGTCTCATCAGGTAGTTCCTTCAATAGGTGAAAAAACAAACGCGTGCAATGACTTGCTGATTCTGCAGCCTGCGGTCCGTCGAACCGAGGCTGTAACATAAGTAGGACAGATTCGTAATTTTGTTTCTACTGTGTACTGACCGGGAAAACAGCCTTTGGGGAAATATGTGAGGGACATATCTGCAATTTGGAAAACTAACAGACCCACACTAATCCTATTTCCCTATAGTCACCCTAGCTGCGAACAGCAGGCCCGGGCTACCACATGGACAGACAGGCCTAAGGGCCTACACTGATAGACTGGTCCTATAGCCTATAGCTGGGCAGGGAAAGTCCGTAGAGGCCGTAACTGAAACGGTACCGGTCGGTCCAGCAGCTCCGGTCTAGGTCGAGTCTAGGCTAGAGTAGACTATTAATAGAATGAGGAAGTATGTTCAGGGCTTTTGACGGTTGGCGAAGCGTCGACCATAGACAGACCCTCGAAGCGTCGACCATAGCTGGGTCCTTCGCTGTTCTCTGGCAGCACGTGGGGCTGCTCAGAGGTCTGGGCTATCTGAGGTCTGCTGGAAGTGGCAGAAGTTGGTGCCCTGTCGAACCCTCCTCAGGAGTAGGGTTCCGGGTAGTGGCGCTGCAGCCATAGCTGCAGCTGACATCATCAGAGATCTCCTTTGTCAGGAAAGGTGGCGCTGCTGCAGACCTTCACTTGTGAAGTCATCTGGCACTTCATCTTCATCAGAGACTGCGGCGCTGGTCTTCATCTTCATACTCTGAGAGGGCTTGGCCCCAGGGGCCTGTATCTGGGTGGCGCTGGTTGTTTCAGGGGTTCTGGGTAGTAGATAACAGTTACTCTGGGCTGGGGAGAGGCGCGCTGCTCATTCCTGAGTAGCGCACCATTTTTCTGAGACTATTCTGACAAAACGATTCTCTGAGTTTAATAAACAGTGTGGATACTGTGTGAGAACTATCTTTGCTTCATTGTTTTCTGGATGTGATCTACTCAACTTTCCTTTGTGACTGGTTGTGGGTATTCTGTGGAGCGAATTGCACCTTCAGTGTATTCTGTCATATCGCATGGTCAAGTCCTCCGCTGTGTTTCTTTCTCGCCGTGCGGTGTGATACTCCTATCCTCTCCCCTTCCTTCTGTGAGTGTATGGGCATGCATGGAAGTTTATGTGAGCGAGTGTTGGTTTTCAGACAACAAGCAACCAGGTTCATAACACGTGAATGACTCTTCGGTGAACAACGGCACAAATCATAGTTGCAGCGCACGTGTGCGCTGTGCTGTGCGCGCCGGTGCGCAGTGCGCACTGCGCTGGTTTAGCAGCGTGCCCACTGTGCGCTGTGCGCAGTGCATACGCTGCTACCTGTGCACCCAGTGCACTAGGAAAAAGAAAAATATTAAACATGCCCCCCGCCTCCCCCCCCTCTCTGCAACCAATGCTCCCCCTTGCAGTGTGCAGTGTGTGTGTGTGTGTGTGTGTGTGTGTGTGTGTGTGTGTGTGTGTGTGAGAGAGAGAG